ACGAAAAGTTTTGATATAGCGTAGAAAGTATATTCTACAAACACCCAGCCAGCACATAATGAATCTAAGCATACAAATTGCGTTTGTTTATACTCTATAGAGACGTTCCTGTGACAGTCACAAAAATAGCTCACTAAAATAATACAGTAACCAATCACAGCCAAGGATTTTCCTGGTGGGAAATGTGACCTCAGAGTCAACTGATCAGCCCATGAATAAAATCCAAAATGAAGACATTTTTCAAGCGAGTTCTGGGGATTTAACATCCTTAACAATTCTATATTTCATGTTTTGTTTCGCTTTACAGTATGTTAGATGATAAATGATTATGCATTGTGAATGTTTTATAATTATTGATTTCTAATCGTAGTACAAAACATCAACCGAATATAGGTATGTGTTGTATAATCTGTTTTACACACTGTTAATTTCAAAAATCCTGCATAACTTTCCAATAAATGTTGATTTAAATTTCAACACACAGGAATTGCCACCACTGATTAGTATTTAGTAATTTGAACTTTATATTGTCTGCTGGTACTGTAATTTCCTGTGATATTCCCAATTATCCTAAAACGGAATATTTTTTCAAATAACAACTTGATTACCATCATTGAGGTTGTAAATATTCAACCGAAAATGGAATATAATGGTATTTTATTGAATTTTATGTGTTTTACTGAATTTGAAACCTGATGAATTGAATGTACTGAAATTTCATTTATCACTGATATTGGAAGTAGCATTTTATTGTTTTAAAATACTCAAGATTAATATACATACCCTAAAAAGCTGTATATCTGACTTATTGAACTGAATGAGTCAAATTGTAGATTTTGTGTACTCACTGAATTCATTAACCTGGAATTAAGGTACCAGGACATGAAATAATCTATCCAACATTTTATATCATTTTAAGATAAAAACTTCGAAGATATTTTCAACTCATTAAAAACAATAGATACTATTTTATAGTATATCATGTTGTAGTGAAGGAGAACACAGGTCAGGGCAAACGAATTGTATTTAACGAAAATTACAGAGTTACTCAGTAAAATAGGAAAACCATATCGTAACCGTTAATTTGCAAAATCTTCAATCCATCATCAATCCATTGTTTGACATTTCACTATTCATGCATTTCATACAAATTACATTGTGTTCCGACTCTTCCTTTCTTGATCTTCCCCCATCTTCTGCTGCCAGAGATTACGTTTACATTCGCGTCATATACTACTTATAAGTAGCGCACACCACAATGTGACCACTTTTTTCTTCCAAAGTAATGTCATATTGAATATCTCATTATTATTATTATTATTATTATTATTATTATCATTATTAAGATATATCATGAAAGAACATAGTAATTCACATTCTTTGAATGATAATTTTCAATCAAATTGAAATATCTATTCTTTAATTGTGACAAGTTGATGCTGATCAAGTTTTAATATAGGACATTAGTGTAAGTAAATAAGTATTGCAGTTAATTTATAAATTAGTGTTGATTTGTTGTGAATATCTGTGTTGTAGCGGAAATTCATGATAAAATCTTGATTTCTAACATCGGTTAATATTTATTGTGAATTTATTTAAAAAAGCATTAGTTTCTTGAATATTTCAGATACACTTTGATCATTAGTGCTGGTAAACAATAAATCTAGTTGTTGGAGACGTTAGATCCCTAGAACTCATTTGGAAGAGGTCCTAATTTCGGATTTTTTTTATGTTTTCGCGCATAAGTTGCTCGGTTGACCTTCAGCTTATATTTCCTACTTGGAAAATGCCTGATTGTCATTGGTTGATGCAGTATTTTAGTACGCTACTTTTTTGGCTCTCCCAAGGACGTTTCTATTATGTATAAATATGCTCGATTTGTGTACTTGTCGAACTTGTATTTTCTGGATGCTTGTAGAATACATATTTCTATGCCTTATCAAGACTTCTTGATACAGTTAGCCGGGAAACGGATAACAGATTATAATAGCCATCATTTGTCTTCGCTGCGTTTACCTAGTAAGGTGAAGTCGTAGTGATTTCAAGTATATCAATTGACGAGGATATCACTCGTGATAGTGTCAATTATCTTTAACCACTTCTGTTTAATCGAACACTGATACAAAAGTAAACTGAAGATTGATATAAATATTTTCACCTAAATTAAAAATGATAAATTAATATTCTTTAAAATTGATCAATAATTTTGTTTTTATTACAGGTGAAGTTCAACCTTGTCGAGTGTTAAGCAATGCCCACAGAAGACAGTAGATGAGGTTGCACAAGACCGTGGGTTGATCGAAGTTAGACATTAACACCGTTAGTTAACGGCTCAGTGTTGTGGAGGTTAAGCATTTCACGCGCAAGTCCGGAGACCCTGGGTTCGAATCCTGCGGGATGCAGGAGTCGTGGATGCGCACTATTGATGAGTCCCATGCAAGGATGAAACGGCCGTCCAGTGTTTCCATGTTTCTTAATGGTGGTCTAATTTTGATTGATTCATGATTTCAACATTATCTATCAGCCAATAAGTATTATTGAACAAAAATGATTTGAAAGAAGTTCAATTTTTAAAGAGGAATTAAACATGTACCAAATTTTTTTTATTAAAAAGCTGTCGAAGATCAGAAAGAATAGAAGAGAGCAACTATTAAGCAATCATATCTTGTTCAATGAATTAAAGGAAAATTTGACTTTTGTAGTGAGTTCTACATCTTTTAATCATTCAGTTGGAATCAAATGGACAATAGTTACAAATTCAATCACTTTACTATATAAATAAGAGGTTAGTGAGTTAGTCAATAGTAAATTTATTGTACTTAAGTAAACACAAAATTTTTATTCTAAAATACTGAATTATGTTTAATAAAATGATGAAGAAACTAACCAAAACAATGAACAATATATTAATGAAGCAAACAAACATCTAGTGTTAATCAGGCGGAGGTAATCTATCAAATCTCTAATGGAGCTGAGTTTTATGTCATCTAGTACTCATAGTCAAAGAGTATTTGTAGTTTTGAGAAATTGAACGTTTTAGAACACTACATATCAACAAGTTACAACGGGATTATACGGGTGACAACTGACATTTACTACACTACAGTAGTAATGATTAGTTTAATAACGGATGTATTTTTATTTCCCTCTTATCAAACATCATTATTTCATTGAAATCGTGAAACAAACAATATTAGACCACTATTGAAAACCTAGAAGTACTGGATAGCTGTTTCATCTCAGTATGGAACTCTGCAGCGTTTTGCATCTACAATCCTCACATGCAGGACGCTAACTCAGGACCTTCGATCTGGCGCACAAACATTTAACCTTTAGACCAGTGAACGCAACATCTAACGGTGTTCATGCCTAACTTCAATCGATCCATAAAACGGTCATCCAGTGCATTCAAGTTTTCAATGGTGGCCTAACACTGATCAGTTCATTATCTTAGTGAAATATAACAATCTCTACAATTTTTAGATGATAATTTCGAAAACTTATTTCTGCTCCAGCTATTACAACACTTTGTGAGAAGTATACAAGCATACAACAGGTTAATAGCTTACACATCTACTGTATGTAGCTAAATTTGTTTTTCACAATACAATGAATTATTTCTACCTCCCCCTTTTTTTTCTGTTACAGAATAGAAAAACAAAATCTGTCATTGAATATGTATACACTTTCAGGCTTGTCTTCATCCTGATTGGCTTCATTGCTTGGATAGTCAGACAAACATATAAGAGAAGCGAGCCAACAGTGTTTGTATGCGTTCTTATAATCTCTACACATATTCCCTTATCTTTCTTCATTCATCTATGAATGGAATTGTTAAAGTAAGTTACTACTATAGTAGGGAGAATGAAACAATTGACAATAGTTTCACAGTCCCCCTTTTGAAAAAAAAGCTAGTCCAGTTTTAATCTGTACCAAAGAATATAATTCGTGTGCCTGTGTCTATTTACTAACTGTTCATATTCATTTTCCAGTGCAAAATTAGACATTTTTATTGTTAAAAAAAAATATCTTTGCCGATAAATTAATGTCATTTTAGTTTTTGCTATTCACACTAAAAATGCTTTACAAAATGTCACAATAACAATATTAATAATAATAATGATAATAGTACTTTCATCGTTATTCTGCAAATCATTAATATTATGTAAATGACCGCCGGAGGAATACCACTGTATTTATATATAATAATGTTTCAAAATCACAAAAATATTTCATTGTCTAAATTATATATTAGTTAATGATCTGACAATAGTTGTTACAACAGAACAAATCAACTTAACATTATTAAAAAAAAACTATTGACAAACTAAAAAGCACAAGAGATTTTCTTTCTATCAAGTTACATTAATACACAGTGATTTTTGTTTGGAAAAAAAAAGAACAGTAACAAAAACTATACATGTAAAACAAATGTGTATATGATCTAGTGAACATTGAATTAGTGAAATATATATACATTTATACATATGTATAGTCAACCATTAATCATTTGAGTTTTTATAACATATATCCTGTATTTGTCTCTGTTGTCTTGCAACAATTCTCTTTTACATACATACATCAATGTGTGTGTGTATGTTGTCTTTCTTGTTCATTTGTCTACTTACTCTATTTCAACTTGACCATCGTTTTATAAAGGAAATATACCCAAGTATCATTAATAATTATTTTGTAATTCAACATTGAATAATTGTAAAAATAACTTATCTAACAGAGAGAGTACAAAAGCAGAGTGTACAAAAAACATAAAAACACTGTTCATTCCTATTCATCATCACTGGTCAAAATTCTCACTGGCATAACTGTGAACACACGCATACATACAATCATAAAAATAGTTGAATATTTATTTACATTACATATTTCATATAAAGTCAGTATTTATCGCAAATTGCAGTATTTTATTTATTCAATTATCAAAAAAAAAAATAAAATAAAATTCCATTCATTAATCAACTAACATTAACAATCATTATCAAATGAGTGTTCTACTCAGTATGCAAAATTCGCAAACTATTGCAAATTTACCCAAACATATGATTGGTTCTAATTATCATCCTACAGGGATAACTAATCTTTCCAATATTCTTGTCTCTAATACGGGTAGAATTGGTTGTAGTGGTGGTTGTGGTGGTGGTGGGGATGATGATGTTGATGAAGATGATGATGATAACAGGGGGAATCATTTATCTGATCCCAGTTATTGTTTAATTCCATCAGAGAATGATTTTACACCGATTTCATCCAATGATAATCAATGCGTTGATGTATATATGCGACAGGTAACTAAGTCAACAAGAACTAATGCGACTACGAATAAATTAGATTCGGTGAATCACTTCGTAATACAATCACAACAGCATCAGTCGCCTGCTTCTCCTCCCTCTTTGCCACCACCACCCCTACCTCCACAGCCGCCTCAAAAACAACAACAACAACACTATCTTAAAACATCATCTATTTCATCACTAACCCAGTCATCTTCTTCATTATCAGACAATCAAAGAAGATTAGCAGTGGAATTAAATTCCCGATTTCAAACACAACAGAACAATCGATTAGTCTTGTTTAAGACAAAATCAGAAAATAAATGTGATACTATTAATGATAATTTGGAAAATTCAAATTCATTGGACATTGAATTGACAGTGAATAATAATAATAACTGTCAACAATCATCTGTTCAAGTACAACAACAACAGAAACATAATTTCTCTGACTATCATTCACATCATTCACATCATCATCATTATCAAACGAAAATGTTGAATTTATGCTCGAATTCAATGGATTTATTGAATAATGCCAATGTAGACAATGTAGGATGTCTTTCATCAAATTATTCACATTTTATGCAAACAAATCGAAGCACCAGTGAAGATTATGAATTTGATACGATGAATAATGATGAAATGAATATGATGCATCATGGAACTTTTCATTCAACAACAGCGCATCATGATGATGATGAACACCATCTTCCTCGTCATCATCATCATCCTCATCCTCATCATCAACATTCGCATCCAAATGAGTTTTATTCATTTCCAAATAATTCATGGAAATATCTTAATTCTAAACAATCTTCGGTTATAATGAATAGTCATGTTAATAATAGTAATAATAATTTACTTAATAAATTCAACATTTCTACTAATCCAGTTTTATCAACACGAAAAAATTGTAGTACTACAATGACCATGCCTGTTACAAATACTACTATTGACAATATAAGTAGTCATGATCATGAGAATTCACTTGTTACTAATTCTACATATACAACAACTCATTCACATTGTGATTATACTTCATTCACTAATCCAAATCAACCAATGGAACAATTATTAGAATCGCCAACATGTTATCATAATGTGTCGACAAAATTATCAGCATCATCAGCATCCGCATCATCATCATCATCGTCATCGTCATCCTCAACGGCATCGTGTACTCCACCATCAATATCAAAATTTAATGGTACATTAATGATGCCTATGATTCATCAACATACAATGCAACAACATTTACAACAATCTAATAAAAATGAACGTCTGTCAAGCAAGTATTCGCATCAAAATACACTGAATATAAATAGTAATAATAATAGTAATGGTAATAATAATACTAATAATCGTCAACCCAATGTCACTGTAATTTATCCATGGATGAAACGTGTACATTCAAAAGGTAAGTAATTTTAATTACAATTAATCCCATATTATTATTTCGGCAATGAATCGCAACTAATATTTAATTGTAATGAAAACAGATTAGGCAATATAGAAATAAATAGTATGATTCTGATTGAGTATTGTTGTCATGTTTCAATCTGACTATCATATACATACTAGTGAGAGATGTATTTCCTGGGAGTTGTGCCAAGAAGCTATGACCGAATTACATCAATCATATTGGAAATGAGGAAAACATCATCAAATGCAACATGATGAATTGACATGAGATTTTAATGCATACCATTTGACTCCACATGTTCAAGATTTGAAGATTATGGTCTTGCTGGGCAATATAAAAGTCTTTTGTTCGATTGTTATTGATTTAAAATAGCATGAAACAGTTATGATGTCAGCTAGTGATGAAAACTATCTTGAAGATACCATACTTTGTAAAATAAACCAAATATACTTGAAGTGTTCTAACTGACAAATTTCCCAAAGTAGAATTTTAAAAATGTTAGATTTATACCATTTTGTTGCGATTCTCATGATCAAATCAAATCAGAATATAAATTAAACATGATAACAATCTTTATGGGAATTTTTCTGTTAGTAAAATAGGATTAAAAAGTGAACAAATCAACGTCTCACTGGATTTTTTCACAAATCAATAGTATTTTAAATAAGGTTTACTTCTGATAATTTTATTCTTAACATTGCAGAATAGTAATAGGTGTCATTTTCTATATTTTTTTGTTGAAAATATGGTAGAATTTGGCAATTAATTCAGTGATCTAGAGATAATACACTCGTTTTGAGGATCTGTACAGTTCTGTGTTCAATCTTATATGAAATTGTTACTGTACATTGTTGTTTACACTTAGATTAATATAAAACAATTTTCGAATTTGTCCTCAGTTCCCAGTGATAACCATTTTAATATCTAACCGTGATGAAAATCAAATTTTATTTAAAATGTATCTATTCATTATGACCGTAAAATGTGTTGATTTTATTGAGAGACCGATAATAGGTGTACTGAAGAATGAATGAATAAAAATAATGATTATTTCGAGGCATAGTTTTGGAGGTTTGTGTTTTACACATTTAAAATCATCAATCAATCATTGTTAGACCACCATTAGAAACTTGGAAGCACTGAAAGGTCGTTTCGTCCTGGTATGGGACTCATCAGTGGTAGTGCGCATCCACGACTCCTGCACCTGGCAGGATTCGAACTCGGGACCTTCGAAATTGTGCGCGAACGCCTAATCGTCGGACCATTGGGCCGGCATCCATCATGGATAATTAAAATAGATTGAACGGTAAGAATACAGTTTGAAAAATCTGTATGTATGAAAAAAATGCACTGGAATTCACGATTTCAGAGAGGAGGATAATGTAAATGTACTTTTGTCATTTTGACTAATTCCAGCTATGTTATCCATATGCTCTAACCCCTGATTATGGTTATGGAATATATCACAAATAAATATTCTGTACAATTAGCATGATTTAATCGAACAGTTAATGATTTCATGAATGGATCGCACATATTGATTTGAAAACTGTACAAGATTGAGAATAAAACTATTTAAAGGAAAATCCTTTTGACACAAGATTGCTCTCCTTTATTTTTGCTCTTCAGATAGAGTTCTATCTCCTGTTTAACAATTTGAGTAATCTCAAATAGTGTATTTTTAAACTTTACACAAAAGATGAAATCGCTTTCACACTTGTATCGACTAGTATGCGTAAATCTAAGATTATATGACAAAGTCTTCTACTCGATCATTGTTAACCTTAAATATTAAAAAATAGATAATAAAAATTATCTACAAAATTTTTAACAAATGACCTACAATTACTAGAATTACTGATTAGTTTGAAAAAATTTTAAAAACAGTTTACATGTAGTTCAATGGAATTGCAATAAGATTTAGGTGGTGCTTCTATCGAAGATTTATTTTTACAGTCAATTATTTATTTAAATAATAAGCATAATTTGATGAATATATAGATATACTACTGTATAACCTGTTGAAAAGTTACTCACAGTTATCTGAACTCACTAACCCAATAGGTGTTTGAAACAAACGATATTGGATTTCTAATTTCCATGTCACATGGAAATGTTTGTCCATTTAACCAGTAAGTTAGAAAATAAGACAAAAAAATATGAATTGTCAAGTCCATTTCTAGTTACTATTTTATCTAGGCTGAAACGTGTTTCTATTTTATTTTCACAAAACACACAATACATAAGATATTTAGATTATCATCCACTTATCCAATGATTTAATGGGATTTTTTTCATATTTCATTGACTCCTGTTTTAATGTGCTGATCAATGAGTCTGGGTATGTATGGCGTTCGATAATTATAGGATGTTGTGTGTATACATTACCCTTAATTCTTAAACTTAGAAGAAACTTGTATAAATAATACTCTCTGATTTGTTAACACTTCTTCAGTATTACAATAAATTATACACTTCATTGGAGATTAGAAAATAGATAGCAAAGACTATCTAGTGTTCGATAAGATTATCCTATGTGCTATGATCGTGAAAAACAGATAGATGGAATACGAAAACCAGATATATATATATATATATATATAACTGAAATATAGTGTGAATTCAACTTGGTTTTACACTGAAGTCATCTAAAATAATGTACTACTGAGTAAATGCTATATTGAATTACTTAAAAATGATCTCAAGTTTTATTCCATCCTCACTACTTTCCTTATTTTTATCTGGATACATTTAAGTAAGCTGTCTGTAAGGGTTCTGACTTCATATATCTTTGTTTTTCTGTATAATTACCAAATATTTCATCTGAAAAATTAATCCTGATTAAATATCATTTGAAACTACATGAGAATAGGAAATCAGCAAAAAATAATCAATATTAGTTTATTCCAATAAAAAATATTCTACACTAGTTAACTTTAAATTTTTCTAATCTACATTCTCATTTAAAATATGTTACTTTATGGTTTATTTAAATTGTTGAAATTTTAAAAAAAATTGAATTAAATGAACGACATTTTCCTGATATCATGTTAGACTAACAATTATTAGTAAATGACCAGTATTCGTCATCAATGGAGGTCAGATAGGTCAAGAGTGAAACAATTGTCCTCAGTGGTATAAGTTGAGTGTTGTTGGAACTTCTAACATTGAATTCTAACCCAATGGTTTTGATATATATTAACGTTCCTTACTAGACTTTGAAGTCCTAGATTTGATTGTTGATCAGATCACGGGTATACTATACCAAAGAGTTATATTCCAGTCGGTAAAATTGACTCAGTGTTTCCTATTTTTCATTGGTTTTCCACCTGAGCTCGATCTGTGACGAATACCACTTACACATGTATTTAATTAGTCGCTTTATGGAGAATATTCAGAATTTAAAAGAAATAACTTTGTCAAGAACCGACACAATTAGGAAACATTGTAAAGTCACTTTCAGCTACTTTAAAACTAACCAACAGCCAAAAACTCTCTAGTCTTTTAGTGTGTATTTTACCCTTAGACTGGCAGTCTATATTTTCAACTTCATCTTGTTGATTATATACCATAAAAAATCTTCAATTCGTGCTTCTGTTTTCTTCTTAACTAATTACCGGTACATAGTGTTCATATTTTGTCTAGGAACTTTCAAGGTGCTAATATTCTGGTTAAATTGACTGGTATTTTATGAAATTAAATTGATTCACTATTCACTATACTATTTCTTTCATTTGCCTTGGTACGGCTGAGAGTGTGGAAAGTCTGCTCTCTCTCTCTAAATGCTCTCATATTGCCACACATTTATAAACACTGTCCAGGAAGTCCTAATCACTACCTAGTGGTAGAAGAGATATTGTTTACGAAAGTGAGAGGATGAAAAGCGAGTGTCTGGTGATTTAGACAGGTTAGTAGGTACGAAACATCAACCGAGGAGAATACCCTGACACTAAACCAGTCGTGCGCATGGGCTCCAGGATCTTGACGGAATGAATGGCATATAAGCCTATTGTCAGTCACCGGTTACCAAGGGACCGTATTTTCTAAAGTCGGTCTGCTGTCTTGTGGATTAGACTTTCGGGTCAAAAGCTCTGAAAAGTGACTTCCTAATAAAACCACCTTCCCCGTTTCGGGAGTCCGTGCATTAGCCCATTCCACTTTCAAATTTTTTCATTTGTTTGGTCTATAAATGGTTAGGTGCTCCTTTGTACCAAAGTTCATGTGCTTAACTAAAAAACCAATAGATAATTTGAGTTTAAGATCATCATGTGTTTTACTTAATAATGACAAACGTATGAGTCCGTAAAATTTCTTCTTATTTACTACAGACAACACTTGTCCACTACATGAAATAGAAAATGGCCATAATGATTCGGGTAAAACACACTTAGTAAACATTGAAAATTTTTACTGATGACCTTAGTCTACATCTAATTAGTTCTAATGAAAACTGCTCAAATAGTTTTTATATTCTAATAAAATAATCAATCATTTCTTATTATGACTGTGGTAATTACAATGTTTCCCTAGTGTAAATCATTTTTGTTGTTGTTGTAAATTTCTCTCGGTCAGTGAGTTTAATTTTTAATACTTTTTTGTGTTTGTATGGAATACTTTCCATAGTATGTTGAGAAAGTGAAGTGATACAGAATTCATGTACTTTAACACTACGCTTTTTGATCTTTTGATAACTTGTTAAAATATTTCCACTAAAATAAAACAGAGGTCAAATTAAAACCATTAAGGATATGTGAATGATGATAAAAAGTCAGAAAGAAGGCACAGGATTTATTCTCATCACATTTGATATTGAAATACATATCAGTAGTACTCTTCTAGATGTTATTGTACCTACATACTTACTCACTTACGACTGTTATTCCTAATGGAGCATAGGCCACCGACCAGCATTCTCTAACAAACTCTATTCTGGGCCTTCCTTTCCAGTTCTACCCAGTTGCTATTCATTTGTTTATATCGGCTTCCAATTCTCG